CGCGTATACAACGAATTGAAATGAAAAGCACAGAATATGACACTTACGCAAGCATTAATAAGTTTCGTAAAAGCATATATATAAAATTAAAATGTCGAGGAAACAGTGACTAAAGGAACACATCTCACAAACAAGAGAAAACCCTAGATCTTAGATGCACCACTTGGCCGCAAAAACAATAATTGTCAAGCGGATATTGTATCCATAAAATAGAGTAGTAAGCCGTCTTCAATCTATTGAACAATTTTATAGCCATTAGCTTTGGACTATTTTTAGTAGATGACAGTAGGTGTGAGGGAGTTTGGAGAACAAGCGTGTTTCTGGTTGAAATCTAAATCGGCCTTTGTAGTCCGCAGTTACATCCTTTATAAGGGCAGGTTCCTTTCGTTGCAGCTTACCTGTACTGTCTTTCTCCTCGTTCAATTGGTGCAACTTTCCTCGGAAATGATACCTTTTTGCCCTGGATGGAAACATGTCCTGAATGTTAACTGACCTGAATACCAAAAGGAGGACGGAATTAACAGTTCCGGAGCCGTTAAGCAGAAGGTTAATTTAGTTATACCTTCGTTGTTTGTGTGTGTGCCACCTCTTCGAATATAAAACAATATGCTTCTTTGTTAGCAAGTAAAATGCATATCCTGTGGTATAAAAACGTGTTGGTTGCATAGCATAGTTCTGAATATGCCCTGGAACTCTCTCAGTGAGGATCCAAATGGTAAGCTTCCCTATTTATAGTTGTCATCGGTTATTTCAGGTCTGTTCATCTACAACATCAAATATATGCCACCAGACAAAGTGTTTCTGTTCATATCCCCTCTTCTGTTATATGAGGTCCATGCCCTACATTTCTGCCTGTACTGCTCATAGTGGCTCCTAAGCATTAGTTTCCTACATGTCTCCAACGGTTTTCTATTTTTGTTAGTCGGCTAGCGTAACATTCCTCCCCCGTCAATAACGTCAACAAGTGAATCAGTAGTATTATTTCTTATTACCGCAATTACCACATATTATGGCTTTCGCCGCTTATATCACTGCATCACGTGTATGTAGAGAAAATCTAAGGATGTTGATTAATGAAGCCGGTCTCAAAAGTGTTTGTGTATATATGGGCCCATATCTTGTATCAGTATTGCACATTTTGTTTTCGGGGACCCTTTTTACGTTCTGTTAAGTGTTTCGTGAACTGTTACTATCAAGCGTCTTGTGTAACCCGGACTTCTAAGATTGTCTGGCCAAGTGAAACCACATATGTTTGTATTACGTTTTACTGGCGTCTGGGAAAAGCATCGTCTTGTAGATTGTTTCACAATCTCGGCACCCTCGGGACAAAACAGTGGTCGTATCGGCCAGCTCTGGATGTACGAAGTTCGACACGGTTAGGATGGGAGGTCAATGTCAGGCTGGTCTGTCTGTCAGGCACATCGTGCGGCAGCATCATGGAGGACAGCTCCGAGGAGCAAAGCCCGCCTCTGGACAGCATCGAGCATAAATAATGTAGTCGGGGCGACAGCACCCAAAAAGTGTGAGTAATACTCGAGGCTAGGTCTTATCTTGGCGTTGTATGAAGTGAGGAGGTCATGAGTAGAAAAGTACTTCTTAGCCCCAAACAAATAGCAGCTGCCGCTATTAAAGCGATGTGCTCATGCCAGATCAAGTCCTCGGTGATCTGGACTCCGACCATCCGAAATGAACGGCCATCCATCGAAACTAGATGAGCGCTAGGACACTTTTTGTTTGTCTAAGTACTGTCTTTTGGAAGCATGCACAAGGTTGTTGCGTCCCCAAGCAGTGATAACCTCTAGGTCTCTCGTCAGAGAGGAAGTGACTGCTAACCTTCTTTTTTCCAGCTCACTGGCAGATATCGGCCTGTTACGCATGTAGATTGTTGTCATCAGCAAAGCTGTGGATTAGGTTGACCGTACAGGAAATGAGGTCGCTGATATGCAAGAGGAACAGTGTCGGAGCCAATACGTGAGATATCTTGCGGCCAGAGAGAAAGAGCCACCCATCTGCAAAGCTTCTCTGGTAGGCCATAGGGTGGAAGTAAGAAGCCAGCGTGTCACAACTGATCGAACGCTTTCGTGATATCAAGAGCAACGACATGAGCAACACCACAAGACTGGATGAGTGTACTCCACAATTGCGTGACGTAAGCTAGGAGGTCCCCTGTGGATAGCTGGTGCTGGAAACCATACTGCCTGTCGCTAATCAAACCGTGACGTCCGAGGTAGACCAGAAGCTCGCGATGTATGCACCTTCCCAACATCTCACTTATGGTATAAAGAAAGCAGAGTTATAGGCCTGTATGAGTAGTTGTTAGTTGTAACGGTCGGTCCTAGATCCTTTTTTTTGTGATGGATTGAACATAAGGATATTTACAGTTTTCTGGGAAGGTGCCATATTGACACGTAAGTGGTGGAAGGCTACTCTGTAAGAAGTTCCTTTGAATTTGCTTGGCCAGCATCCAATAAAGACCGACTAATTTTGCATTGTGACATTATCCGGTGCCTAACTTTTATATCGTGCTGGTCTTTGGCATTGCGGACCGCTTCATTATATTTGTTTCTGGACTCGACGTCGGCTTGTTTGTTCTCTACAGTAGGATTATGTAAGAGGGTTCTGTGTGCCTTGATCTTCTGCTGACGAGCAGTGTCTCGCGATTTGTTGAACCAGCCCTTGGACCCCGGTTTAGACACTTTCACTGTATGAGGGATGTATTCCTCCATCCCAATGTCGATAATTTCGGTCCATCATCATCTTTCCAGAGAAAGGTGGAGAAGTATCTGAGCCCTCACAGTCGGCGTGTCCGAAATGCCAAATTTTGCGGTCTGGGCGAGTTGCTGCTGCCCCTGCGGGTTTTCACCGAAACCTAACCTCTACAAGACCGTGGCCTGAGTTGCACAGGGGAGACCCGACAGCAATGATTTAAGGGTAGGAGGCATGGTCAGAAAGAGATCCAGCAGGCTAAAGGTGTGTGACGTAACGCTGGGGAAAAAGTAGAGCTCGTCAGTTTGTGGGTAATGGCGAACGCTTCAACTGCACGACCTGCTGTATTAGTCTTGCTTGAGCCCAAGCATATTATGGTTACTGAAATCACCGAAGAGAACCACACCGAGTCATCCCAGTTAAGGTGCGAGGGAGAGCGGTAAAGGCAGAAAATAAATTGGGGGGATGTTCTGGAGTTGAGGCGAAGCCACAAAGTGTCCTTTCGATCTGATTCCAAAGAAACGTCTCTGGAGCAGAAAAGACTGCTGCGGACAAAAGCCACAACTCCCCCGTTCTTTCTCAGATTGGAGTGCACTTCGTAATTTGGGAAGCTAAAATGGTTAATCGGTGCAGACTGGGAGATTTTTGTCTCCTGCAAGAAGAGCATTGTGGGACGATTGGATTGCAGGTAGTGATGAACAGCGTCGATGTTGGTGTTTATTCCGCAGGTGTTCGTGAAACAAATGTCATCATCGATGATGTTCCCACGAGTCCACCCTCCACCCGGATTTTCTGAGAGTGGAGTGAGTTTACGACCGGAATTCTAGGGATCGAGGGATCTATCTTCATTAATTTCATTGTTGGGGAAGATAACCGACTGCGTAGCTTAGGCGTGGAAATATGCGAACATTCTTAAGACACACTGGAAAAAGCTAGCGGGTGGTACCACCTCGGTCGACTATTCCTTGTCTAGCACTTTCTTTCTGCGCGTTAATGATGTTAAATAGACCTAAAGTGGCCCGTTGGTTTGTACCGCCACCCGGAAATCGACACCGAGGTATTCCTCAACGCGTGTAAAATCACTTGAACCGTGAGAAGTTGTATACCGAACATGACAACTTCCGGAGGAACTAAGCAACCAATGTAAAAATCTGGGATTATATATGGATAATACTCTTAAATTTGTTCCCCACGTTAAGCATCTCTTACAAAAAGCTTATGCTAAATTAAGGACTTTTTATCTTCACAAGAATGCTCTCTCTACTGAAGTCAGGCTGAATCTATGCGATTCGTTGATATTGTCTTCCTTGTCATATGCTGATATTGTATACTGGCCTGCTCTCACTACTAGAGACAAACGTTCTATTCAAAAAATTCAGAACTCATGCATCAAATTTTCGTACGGTTTGAAAAAATATGACCACTTCAGTGACGAATTTCGAGCCTCTGGCTGGTTCAACATGCATGAGCGCTTTTTGATACATCTTGCTTGCTTAACTTACAATATTAACAAAACCCAGCTGCCACTTTACCTATATACCAAACTTGTTAAGAGATCGGATCTTCATGATAGGGAAACTCGTTCTTGTAATCTCTATGATGTTCCGTTACATAGTACTGAACAGTTTAAAAACTCATTTACTTATGTTGCATCTACCATGTATAACTCATTGCCAGATGCAGTAAAAGATTCGATCTCACTTAGCAGCTTCCGAAATAGAGTCAAATCCCATGTGAAAAGAGCACAATAGTTAGTTTTATTTTTGTTGTATTAATTACACCCATCATTATTCGCTCATTATCATCTAATTGTTAGAATTGTATTATTTACGGGGGTTGCATGGAAGAGCAACTATGTTGAATGCCGCCTCCCTCATCAAATGAGTTTTTTTTTTGTTTGTTACAATTTATCTAAAAAATAAAGACATATTATTATTATTATTATTATTATTTGCCATGGCCCCGCTAAGTAGTAAGTTGTCTTTTGGCATTGTGTCATCATCTCGCATGGTGGCCACTTTGCTTTGTTCTCCAACACATGGAACCGTAAGTTCACCACCGTAGAAGACAACTCTTTTGAACGCAAGCACTCCGCTTCCTGTTTGTGCAAAGTTAACCCTTCGGAAACGTCCGGCGCCTTTTCTTATTGACACCGGAACTTGTGGCGGCTTCCGACATCCGGGCGGCTGGTGTCCCGTATCGCGGCAACATCGCCGATCGTCAAGTGAACTGACCGGCGAGCGTATACGTGCGGAGGTTACGTCTCCCGCCACCGTTGCTCACCAGTCGAGTGTCGACCGCTGTTGGGTTGGCATCACTGCGCGCGCGTTATGCGTTTGTCTGCGTCGTTGTCGTCCGTCACGGCCGACGTGATTCCGTTACATCGCCACCGCTACGTCGTTTTGTGGCTGGGTTTCCCCGCCCCGGAGGGTTGACGCGCATATGGTGGCCAAAAACAAAGTCGCATCGCCGCGATGTCTGCGATTCCACGGATGCCCGGACAACGACAACAACCGTCTCCACCGCCGACAATTATGAAGGAACGTACTTGTCGGTATTTCGCGAACATCTAATTGGCCACCTGCAGTGCACTACTCGGCCTCCGAGAGCCCTCAGTTTCGCGTTTTGTGCGCTTGATTCATTATTTCCGAGGTAATGGTCTAGATCGACCACAGAGCTTTGCCTACTTTCATCTCCCAGTTGTTTAAAACTACACAACACAAGAGCTAAATTCTCAAGTTCGCATTGTGAATTCCATCATAACTTGAAAGAATGTTGCTTTCTGGGTTGGTCGATAATGTAGCGGAGACAAAGTGATCACCCAATATAGGTAATTTACGCAAAACTTCAAATAGTGAGTTGAATCATTGTGACCTTTTGGTTCAGCATACGTCAGAGAATAGAGCATCATAGGCCATAAGTTGGTCGCCACTATGTCGGAGACAAAATTGTTACCTAACATAATTTACGCGTAATTTGCCATAGATAAGTTAAATCATGCCTCTATTACTGTCCGGCAAATATATGGTTCAGGTTGGACGCCACTATTGTGGACACCAAATCAATGACTAATTAAGGTTTGCGTAACCTCAAATAGAAAAGTTAATAATGGTGAACTCTATACAATAATAAAATATAATTTGACAACAGAATTTGGAAGCGGTCGTAGTCAAAAATCATTAACAATCTACGAAAAGTATCAAACAAATAAGTTAAATAATGGTGAATATTTTCTTTTTTATACGATACCGTAGTTAATTAAACATTTTTTTTGTTACCTGGTATTGACTCTAGGTGGGCACCACTTTAGCGAAGACAAAATCATTTACTCGGAACTTCGGACATATTAATAAGGATGAACATGCCTTTGTATACCTGCATGCGTGTGAACAAATGAAAAATGATTGTTGGATAATTTGTGTCCTGCACTGGATTCACCTAAATTTTGAGGAAAACTTAGGATAATCATATCGCATGAAAGAAAACCCACGGTGCGCGCCGAAATTCCATTTCTTAGGGTTCAGATTAGGTACAATGAATGGAGTGCATAAACTTTTTGACAGTTCGCCCTTACAGTATCACCTGTTAATTTAAGGCTGTCGTCAGTCATGCGCACCTTAGATGTTTCTGGTCCATCTAAGTCGGCCTCGGAAAACGTGTTGTAGTTCACGTATTTTAATAATTATTTTGTTGAGGAATGCAACAAACAGCCCAAGTACCGTTGGAGTATTGGTCTTCGTATCGAATGATAATGATGCCTTGTTTGGTTTATGGCCGTTCTTCTTGATACTAATATTCCGTATATTAACCCACAAATATTGTCATGTTTTTCTTCTTATTTAGCATTCCATCACTTGTCAGGCAATATTGCGGTATGATGTAGTTTTGTCTTTACTCGCAAGTAGGTATTCACAACCATATCTACTAACAGTGTGATCTCACGTTAGGCACCAAAATCCTATCCTTTCAGTATATTTCAATTCTTGAATCCTATTTTTTGCGTTTAGCATAACAATTTTGTTGAAGAAGCGTTACCCAATGCGAATCTACACTTGAAGTAACCTCCAGAAAGAAGTACTAATAAGACCTAAGTACTGTGTGGTCGGTAACCTTTTTATCTTCTTTTTGTCTTCTTCTTACCCACAATAGGCCTCAAAGGCTGTCATCATCAGTTAAGTCGTTTTCTTATTCTGCAACGGTACTGACTGTGAGGCCCCACGTTGGGCGCCAAAATCTCGTCTGTTCATGATGATTTTAATAAGATACTAGTTAGATACGAACAACAGTAAGTGGAAGTAAAGGTTCTGTCTAGTCACTTACCTTTATACCCGTTGTTTTTAATAGTTACCCTCCTGCTTATCATGAATTGAGACTGGCATCACTTCTACTTTTTTTGTACCAGTATAACGTTAACCATCTCCGATGTAATAGTTTAAATTGAAATAAGGAATAAAAATGGCCTCTGAGACGCCTGTCTTGAAATAATGATTGGAGGCACCCAAACAAAAATCTTATCAACTGATGATAATTTCATCAACCTGCCACTTCAGTCAATGATAATGTAACTCCAACATTGATTAATCTTTTTTTGCTAATTTGTGGTTTTAATGGTAGAGTTAAGACTAAATCAATTTTATCTTTATCTGCTACATATATAATTTAAATTTAAATTGTTTACAACACTCAATGACAACATGTTTTTTTTTTAATCAGAGAAATTCTTTTAAATAAACAACTTCGAAATGGAAGTACGTGAATGCTTACCAAAGCTTTATGGCGATCTAAAAACAAACGTTCCATTTCAGGTTCTCAAAGTGAAAAGTGTGCCCTGGATTTATAATTTCTGTTACAAGTGAGAATTAGTGGTGCTGGATCTTATTATTTCCAACATTCTCCCAGTGATTACTGTGTCTTCGTGCCTACTCGAGTGATTTTTAGTGCTGTGATATCTGCGAGAAAATTATTGTGATTGTTGGTGATACATTACCCAGTTTTTGTTGGATATATTTTATGAAAATTACGTGAGTCCTATTTTTATCCATCATCGCTGTGGCTAACGGATTCATGGAGGTTTATTTAAATTGAGATTAGAAATTAACTGTTGGTAAACAATGCTGCTTAGTAGGTTACTTACATTTTTGGTTTATAAGTTGCTTACATGCTCTTCTTGATTACCTCTAAAATGCTGACATGCGAAAAACAAGCCAAACTACATATACTCGCACCTGTTCAGTTGTGACTATAATCAAAACTTTAGACGATTAATTGTTAACAAAACATCCATCGTATCGTTATGAGAGCCAATCCTAGTACTTTTTGTTAAAATAACGAAATTTTACACACTTTTGTTTGAGCTTCAGGACAAATTAGGGGCTTAATCATAGGTGGTTTCCTGTTGCTATACCTTTGCTGTTTTCAGATGATTTTTCTTCATATATACCTGTACTCATGATTTATTCAATTTTCACGACGCAGCGACCCCTTCTACATTTTTGCCATAACATGCTTGAATCATTTTCATCATGACAGCTTCATCAGTAGATGACTCTGACTCCACTGTAGCATTATATGCTATAATAATGTAATATTAATGATTAGAGTATCACACTACAGTCTACAAATCGAATCAGTCTTAGTATTATAAATATTGACTTGGATCTCAAATCAGAAATTTACTGGAGCAGTATTTAATTTTCTCGGCAAGAAGGCAATAATTTCCGTTTAGAGGGAATTTTTAATTTTGTTCCTGTGCTCCTGTTCAGCAACGGTGTTAATCTGGAAGAGATATCATGCAGCCAGTTTTCCCCTAATTAAGTCTTAGTCTTAATTTATATGATTACAAATTTCTCTCTTCAATTAGCTGAGCCATACCGACATCGGGCTACATGCCGAGATGTTACATCTAACAAAATAGCTATAATGCTCTGTAGTTCAGTCATTTTAGAAAATGGTGATTGTCTTGCTGTTCCTGAATGTGTGAATTATTCACTTCAGAGCATTGGTGGTATTTTATTTGTGCGGATTGATATACAAGTACTGCCTAACAGGGAAATGAACAGTTGTACGTAGATGACAAGTATTAATGCTAAGCCTGGATTTATTATTTACAAAAATACTTTTACGTGGCCAGTACTCTGTACGTAAATCTGGAAGAGGTTAGCCTCAATTGTGGCCGTCAACACTGAATCTTTTCACATTCTAGCAGCTTGGAAGCTTGGAGATTACAAGCATCCTGGTTGATGCAGAGGAATTCTTATATAGGAAACCGTTATATGTATATCATTGGCATCTTAAGAGTAAATTAACGATTTAACTAAGAGGTCTTTGAGATATGATCAACCACTGTAATAATATCAGGAGTATTCATTTCAATACTGACTACTGACTGTCTAATGCGAGCTCCAAAGGTGCACGACTGCACGTCCATTGGGAGGATATGCAGCGAATTAGGCGTCGACAATATTTAACCTACAGCTGTCTCCTTCTGACTTCAGTGTCGAATAAGTTGTTTAACATATATATACATAATCCGAGGAACAGATAGATACTGATGCTCGTGGAAAATTTAAATCACCAACTTCCTGCTTATGTTCCAGATGTTTTTGCTTATATACTAAGCGGTTGTGATTTTTATCCTCAAACTCGTCACCTCTCTTGTCACTAGTAGTAAATAGAGTTAGAGATTGTGGTTCAGTTTTCCACTCGCATGTTAAATATGTCTTTATTGTTAACAGTATTAACTGGAAGTATAAAAGTACGTATCTTAAGGAAGTATCTTAACTAAAAGACCATGTATAGGTTAACTAGAAAGTTGTATTTAAATCTAAATGTCTATGAGTTCTTATGGATTGGAGCAGCGTTGCCACATCGAAAGTATGGCTCAATCAACCAAAAATTCAAAAACAGGAACTGATATACGACTTTCAGGTTAATGCTACTCAACTTGAACTTACATTTGGAGTTGAACAACTGGGATCTTATGAAGTCTGTAAATTAAGTGATGATACTATTTTTTTATTAAAAAGTAATTATAATTTTATATTGTCACCCTTAAGATAACTTCCTTCTGAAGCCACAGAACGCTGGAGGCGGTTCTTCCACTTCTTATAGTAGTGCTGATACTACGGCACTGGAACAGCCTTCAGCTGGTCGGTTACAGCCTTTGAATGTTTTCGACTGTCCCAAAATAAGTTCCCTTGAGGTAATTTTTCAACTTCGGGAATAGAAAAACGTCTTTAGAACTCAAGTCAGGCAAATAAGGAGGCCGATGAGCTACAGGAATGTTTTTACTGGCCAAAAACTCGTTTATTGACATTACTGTGTGACAAGGAGCATTTTCGAGATGCAACACCAAGTTGTTCTTCTGATAAACGGTGGTGTGAGTCAAATTTAATTCTTTCCCGATCATTCTGACTGTCATCCGACGATCTGAACGCACAAGATCCCGGATTCTGTCGATATTTTTTTCGATGATGAATGTCTTCCGCTTTGTGGTTCATTCATCTTCAATCGACTCTCTCCCTTTTGAAAATTCTTTAAACGAACGAAAAACCTGGGCCTTTGACAAAACACACTCCGTAGGCCTGCTGAAGTCTAGCAAGAGTCTTAACTTAGCTCTTACTTAAGCTGTCAGGCTAATAAACATCTCCGATGTTATTTTACCAGTTACTAGAAGTTAATCCTGCTTCATACTAAAGTAACTGTATTATTAACATCTGCTCAACGTTTATTCTACCGGGTCGGTTATTCGCGTAATTATAACGTTAATTAGATTTATATTTGTAAACATACGTGTGATAACAGTAACAGCTCGTGAAAATGCTGTCGGTTATGATTGTTCATGATTCTAAGGAGTTTATGCCCACCTTGTGCCAGTTTTTTTTTGTGAGGGTGGAATGCGTTTATGCACCATACCTTAGCCCGACCTACGGCGTGTGTGGGACTCCAGGTTGTCTTGAGGAGACCACCTAATACCCACTAAACCCTAACCTCCGCGTGGCCCGACTCATCAGCGTCTCGGTAGGCCATGTGTTGTGCGTGACCTGCGGTCTGCTACAACGTCTCCTCAGGTGTTTCAGTCTCTGGGAACGCCGGGTTGGTTCCCTTTACCTCGCACAGTTCTATCGATGTCGTTAAGGGAGCATCGATATAGGGTTTGCTATGTTCTCTTGAAACTCTTGTTTTCGAAAAATCAAGAGTTTCAAGTCCTCTACTACTTGTATGTTACTTGGTCCTGATGGGACCTGGTCCTCGTTGGTCCTGGTCCTGATGGGTCCTGGTCCTGGTTGATCCTGGTCCTGATCGGTCCTGGGAGCAACCGCGGGTTCTCCTAGTCAAGGTTCCAGTTAGCGGGTGCCAACTGGGACCTTGGTCTAGGGTACTTGGCTCTGCGGTTGCGAGGCCTCTCGTCCGGATCGTAGTCCATGAGTAGTCGTAGCTGCTCGTTTGGGTGGTCCTGAGCTTTCTGGAAGTTCTCTGCTTTTTTCCTCATGTACTCGTGAATTGTGTCCCAATGCAGGTCTCTACGCAAGGTTGAGTTTCTTACGTAGGATGGTGCACTGGTGGCGATCCGGAGTAGCTTCATCTCTAGAGCAGCAAGTCGCTTGCGGTAGGTGGGAGCAGCGTACCCCCAGACCGCGGAGGCGTAAGCGAGCTGAGGTCTGGCGATGGCCTTGATCAGCCGTAGCTTGGTCGCTAGCGGCATTCGGTTGTGTCTACCCAGTAATGGGTAGAGTTGGGCCATGGCTGCTCTGGTCTTTGCGATGACAGCTTCTATGTGGTCTTTCCAGGTGGGGGACTTGTCAAATACGATCCCTAGATATTTGACTTTGTCGCTCCACAGGATATCTTCGTTGAAGATGGATGCTTCGAGAGGTCTTGCAATCCTTCTTCGTTGGATGAAGATTGCCTGCGTCTTCTGGACGTTGATGCGGATTTTCCATTTCACGCACCAGTTCTGGATGTGGTCCAGTTCATCCTGTAGTCTCCTACGGATGATCTCGGGTCGTCGATGCTTGGCGGCTATAGCAGTGTCGTCTGCATATTGGGCCAGCATTGTGTCAGCTGCCTTCGGTACGTCGTGAGTGTAGATGTTGTAGAGCAGGGGGGCTAAGGCTGACCCCTGGGACACGCCTGCTTTCAGCTGTCGTCTTGTTGAGTGGCATGTACCAATCTTCACCGTGAACCATCTTTGTGTTAGATAGCTCTGGATCAGTTGGCACATGTTTGCATCGATTCCGGCGGCTTCCATTTTTACGATGAGTCCATCGTGCCAAACTCGATCGAAGGCTCGTTCCAGGCCGGTTGCCTCCTGGAGATTGAAGCCACTGGTGATGTTTTCTGTCAGTCGTAGCGCTTGGAGTTCCGTGTTGTGGGAGGATCTGAAGCCGAATTGCTCTGGGGGGAGAAGTTCCAGTTCTTTTGCCTGCTTCTCTAGTCGAACGGCGATAGCCTTTTCGACTACTTTGCCCATCGAGGAAACCAGTTTGATGGGCCGGTAGTTCTGAGGCAACTTCTGGTCCTTGCCTGGCTTGGTGAGCATTATAACCTGGGCTTCCCGTCACCACCGCGGGAAGTGGTTAAGTCTCAGAGTGGCATCGGCGATCTTGGTGAGCGCAGCAATGCCTTTGGAGGGAAGGTTCTTCAGCATCCTGTTGCTGATGCCGTCCCTTCCCGGCGCCTTTGAATAAGATGCTTATGGGATTAAAGATGAAGGTGGTTGCGTAAATAATTATATTACGAGGTTTGGAATTTTATCTTTCAATGCGAATAAAAATTCACGGTTTATAAAATTTATAAATTACATACGTAAAATTCCTATAGTAATAACATGTTACTCTTGTTATTCTTCATCCAAAGAACAGTTATATTGTTTTTGGTACTCTTGTCGTCGAGATTTTGCAACATCTGCAGATCTGTATTTTTGTTATTTATCAAATTGCTATCTACAGAATTTATGGAAGTTATTGGAACCAATAATAACTATTTGTACTACCTAAGACGCTAACATTTTCGAAATCAT